CACCACTGTGAACAAAGATTCTAACTGTAGAATCATCTGTTACTCAGTCGTGATGGCACAGTAATAATAACATCCTTTTCTTTTGATGCATCTTTTCATCTTAAGAAGAACATAGTCAAAGAGTCTTAATGGTTTCAACAGTATTACAAGTGACTTAAAGAAGGATACACAAAGACTGTTAACGGGTTAGACAGTATTATAAGTGATTTAAGTCATCCTTACATATGGCATCTCTGGTTATCTTAAGAAGAACATAGTCAAAGAGTCTTAATGGTTTCAACAGTATTACAAGTGACTTAAAGAAGGATACACAAAGACTGTTAACGGGTTAGACAGTATTATAAGTGATTTAAGTCATCCTTACATATGGCATCTCTGGTTATCTTTTGAAGAGGCATTCCTTTAAGAAGCCACATAAAAACTAATTTTCTCCTAAGTCACACTTCTTTGGGCAAGAAACTGAATTCATTAAGTGACTCCCCAAAATAAGATGCCCACCTTCTATCTCTGGGAGCGATATCACAGCATTCATTTCATAAAACTTTCAAGTTCCTGTATTATGCTTGTAGAATCAAGGTTCTTAGAACACAGGAGCCTTCTAATATTTGAAAACCTTAGGGGAACACATGGGTGTGTGCACACACGTGTGTACACAGTATCTCCAAACTACTGTAAAGAGGTACCCCTATTTGCTAAGTTTCTAAGAACAGTTCAGTTCTCTATAAAGAGCAGTGCCAGAGGCTGCATGCTTTGTTTGACTCTCTCCCAGATAATTGTTAGTATTAGATGGCTTCTGTTTTTCAGAAAACAGTTCATGGAAAGGTTTTAAGTATATAAATTTGTTTTCTTCCTAAAGACTTAACTGAATTCCATTTCCAAACCCAGCTTCATGGTCGCAAAAAATGCCCCCAGAAACAGAAAGACAAGACTGAGGAGACTGTGGCTATTTTGGTCAGCTTCAGTTTCTTCATCTCCGTGGATTATCCTGCCTCCAGTCTCCTGAAGCCTTCCTTGAGTGACCTCACACAGAGCTCTCTAGCTGTCTCATCCATTTCTTACAAAGAATATCCCATATACCAGATGTAGCAAGGCCACCGGTGCTTGTATTTGCTCCCTGATCCTTTCTTCCTGCTGTTCTCAAAGAATCCAGTTTTAGACCAGGGCAGAGCACTGCTTCAGGCAGCCTGCTTCTTTTATACCGGATAATCTTCATCATCATCCTCTTACCTGTATGCTTTTCTAAAATAAAGTAAAACCTATTCACAGGCCCATGTTCTGCCAAGGCTGTAAGCCTTATGAGCCAGGATGGTGCCCAGAGCCTTGTGGAAGCTGCTTCCTATCTGTGGTTACTTCAGCTGTCATGAGGCATCCTCTTCAAAATGCAGAGCCGATCCTCTTGCCTCTAAAGCTCTTTGACACCACATTCACAAGTTCACAAAGAAAAGTTGCTCCTGACACTGAGGCAAGGCTTTGGAGTGACAAGAAACCCAGAGACAGAAGCTACTCTGTAATAGTTCAACTCCCCACTGAATATTGTGTACTGAAGTAGAGATGCCCACCTCCATAGCCACATCGGCTTTTAGAATGGTGTATACAGAAGATGCCCTAGTAAATAACTGAGGATGCCAAGGCAGAAGAGCAGACTAGCCATGTGTAGCACTCAGTTCTCTACCCAATATCCACTTCTATCACCTTGCACCAGCCACTGCAAGTCAGGTCCTCTGTTGCTGCAAGCGTTCAGCATGGCACACATCACTCCCCTGTACCCCAAACATTACAGTGGTCAGGTTCCTATGAAAATGGCTTCTTTCTATTCTCCCAACACCACTGCCACCTTGGCACATACTCAGCTTGTGTCACTGCTGGAAAAAAGGCAGGAATGAGTGGCCAATGACCAGGGGATGAGGAGCCAGGGCTAAGGAGCTATAGTGAGGGAGGGAGAATAGGCAAGGCAAAGGGCACAGAAACCAAATGCAGCAAACAAAAGCCATTCAACTTACGAGCTCAGTTGTATGCAGGAGTCTAGGCAGAGCTAGGGCTCTAGAGCCAGATGGTATTCTGGTAAGAGCACATCTGAGTATCAGACAAGAGAACAGGGCTGTGGATCAGATTCTGGCAGGCTAGATGTAGCCAGTAGCTGTATGAATGGTTTACAACTGAGACAAGAGTATGTAATGGAATAACCAAGACAAGAGAAAAATAGGTTAGGAGCACAACCTCCAAATTAAGGAACCAGGACCTCCACTGAAGTTGCAGGGACCAGGCCATGGAAGAAGAGGTACTAATACCAAGACAGACCTAGATAGCAGTTCTGTGGGCTAGGCTTTTATCAGATTTCTGTTGCTGCAGAAGCTACTGACGCTAGGCCAGGTGGAAGTAATTGTGATCACCTGGTTGGTGTACAGAGTAGGGAGGTGAGAGAAAGCACTAGCCTCCAGCAGGTAATCTTGCTAAGCGAAGAGAGAGCTAGATTGAACAAGGCCAATGAGAATGTCCATAGGAGTATCTTGAGCCCAAAATGGCAGAGCCAAACTTTGACATTGGAGATGGCCACATAACAACTAAAAGATGTTCAATATGGTTAAATCCTATTCCCAAATGAGGGCCCCTGTAGAGAGACCATGTCTGCAATATGGAGAAAGCGTGTCAATGTTGCAAGAACGTGGGTTGAGAAGGAGACAAGTCTGAAACTCAATTCTGTCTCTTACTAGCTGTGATTCCGGCAGGTTACTTAACATCTGTGAGCCTCAATTTTCTTATCTGTAAAATCAGGTTGCCAATAAGTTTTATAATAATAGATTCTGTCATAAGGTTTTCTGATAACTAAATTAGTGAGCATATGTACAGCAATTAAACAGAATCCCTGGCCAAAGAGTCAGTGCTCAATAAGTGATAGCCATTATTATTATTACAAATAGTCACAGTAGTACATATAATACCATTATTGCAGTAGTACATATAATACCATTATTGCACATGGAAATACTCCTTTTTACAAAGATCATCTATAATAACAACAATATTATGAATAGTAGTATAGGTAACCCCAGACTTAAAAAGCTAATCTGTTTCTGGTAACATCTGAAAGTCAAACCACAGTAAGATAAGGTTGTTTATAATGAAGCTTGCAGCTTTACTCTGAACTCTGGTATTATGCCAGTAAGTTGCATTTTATGCCACACAAATCAAACCACCACATTCTTTTTCTCCCTCCCTCCCTCTCTCCTTGCCTTCCTGACATGTATTGCCAGCACTGACTGCAACATCCTGGCAATCACTTGGTAGCTCGGAGTTGGCATTGGTATAGGTCACATTTCCATCTCCATTAGGAAGTGGTAAATACAAGTTTAGGTAGTTACTACAAGGAGAGGGGGTGAATATGAGGAGGGTTAAAAAAATTTTTTTAACATGAGGTCTTGCTATGTTGCCCAGGCTGTAGTGCAGTGGCTATTCTCAGGGACAATGATAGCTAACTACATCCTTAAACTCCTGGGCTCAAGTGATCCTTCTACCTCAGTCTCCTGAGTAGCTGGAACTACAGGTATGTACCACCATGCCTGGCTCAAGAGTAAAAAATTTTTTAAGTTAGATATGGTAATCTACAAGTTGTATCTTCTCATTTCAGAGTCATCTGCATTTGTACCATGCTTTGTAATTCTTATACATAAACTATCATATTCAACTTCAAAATAAGTGTAAAGAAGCAGGATAAATATGATCTCTGGCTCACAGAAAATAAAACTGATGAAGGTCAGGGAGGTTCTGGTGATTTACTCCAGGTCACATACTGTCACAGTATGGTGGGATCATGCTATCACCTGGATCTCTGGATTTGTAATTTGGTGCTTATCCACCATAATTAGTCTATGACCTGTGGGGTTAGTGTAGCAGGTACTTTTATTTTCAAAAAATAAAAGTACTTTCTATTTATATTTGATATTTTTCTCTCTCGAAGGAAGTTCTGATTTCTTAGAAATGTAGCTTGCTTCTGAAACAGCCTCATTTCATTTTGTTAATTTTATAAGTACAAAATTTAATTATATTTATGCTAAACAAATCTCCTTAAATTTGATTATTACTTCAATTGATTTTGAGGTATCCAGTATTTTAAAGTTATCTTGAACATATTAAACTGAAAGTAATATGTGCATTGTATTATGTTGGAAAATGTTTCCTTTAGGGAATAGTAAATTATTTACTTTACTGCCCTCAGAGATAAATTATTCACTATAAAAATGCATTTATGAGCAAAATCATATGATGCTTATTGTGACAGTTTAAGGTTTGAAGGGGCCTCATATTCTTATTTTTTGAAATAGCACTTTTGTTTCTTACAAGTTAACAAAACTATGGAGTTATCTATAAAATAAATGTACTGTTTTATTAAAGGCCTCTGTACTTTGACATATAATATGTCAAAATGGGTCAGTTACAGAACTCTATAGTGGATAATAGGTTATTTCTTAGCCAAGCTGACATTTTTAGCTCAGCAGGCATTTCAGCCAATTTTAAGGTCTTTAAAGTTTTGTAATCTGGTTTTCTGGCAATACTAATTATTAGGATACCCAATATCATTTTTTGGGGGGAGAAGTCAACATCTAAACCAGTATGTTTGTACCAGTAGCTATCCTTTCATATTGTTCAATACCTTAGACACACACACACACACACACACACACACTCTCTCTCTCTCTCTCTCTCTCTCTCTCTCTCTCACTCTCTCTCTCTCTAATTCCTTTCTCAGAGGAAATCATCTCACATATTTTGTCCCTAAACACAGTTTTAGCACAGATTTCTTTTTTCTAAAGTATAAAATCCCTAGCTGAAATAAATTCCATTTGTTAACTAGGAATGAGGCTTTGTTCACTGCAAAAACAAACTGAGAGAAGCAGTCATTAAGATAAACAGGAGAAGGGAAACTAATTAATTGGTCCTAGTCAAAGAAACAAAGGCTTTCCATCTTATTCTTTGGCTGTTTTACTTTAAACACAATCACTTACCAAGTGGCAAAAATGCAAGACGGTTTCCAGCCATGGAGAGCTCATTGAGGCTGGGCAGCTGGCAGAGATGGCGCGGCACATACCATAGACGATTTCGGTCCACAGTGAGGTACTGCAGAGAAAGGCACATGTGAAGCCTCTCGGGTAAAGTTAGCAAACGATTGGTAGAAATGTCTAGTGTCTGCAGCTCCTTCAAATCGCCAACCTCTACAACCAAAATCAAAATTAGGATAAATTGCATCCTTATGAACTGAAATAAACAAAATGAATCAGTATTAAAACAGTTTAACCAAATGAAATCAGTAGCTGCAACTATTTCCATAAACATGAATACTGAAGTACAGGATTGTTGGTGAAAATGCAAATAATACAACCTAGGTGGGTGTCTTTAAATTAGCCTGCCAGAATTTCTTAAGTGAAGAAAAGGCTGGCTGGCATGGAGAAAAAAAGAGACACAAAGTGGTGAATCTGAACCAGAAGTCTGTTACTATGGCTTCTGCATCTTGATGAATCAAAATTGTTGCTAGGGTGAGAAAAGAACAATTACAGTCACTTCGAGGAACCTGGTTTTTGCCACTTGTGTGATTTCCCCATCCATCTAAGTAGAAAATGGAGATTTTATGAATTACAGCAGTGAAGTAAGTGCAACTTAGATGGATGGTGTTCATATGAAGTAAACAGATTTCTGGAGTAGAAATTAGAATCTTTTGGAAATTTTCACCACAGTAAAGATTATAACAATAAAATGAGCTACAGTTAAAGAACATTTTTAGATACTGTTCAAGCATGTGACTTCTTTTAAAAAACCCGAAGTATACATATCCTATAAGGATTAATGCCAAAATTAAATATTTCCATTTATTCCAAAATTCCCTCATCATCGATGTCTATAGTTGTCATCTGTTCCATGGTGAGTACAATTATGTCCTTTTCATACATCAAATCACTAAGACTTGAGTGAAGATTAGGGAGTTCCTTACAAGGAACTTAGTCCTTCTCAGGGAAAATCCTTCCATTTTACAGGAAGGACATTTACTCTTTCCCAGGACAGTACATTACACTGAAGACTCTATAGTTAGCACTGTGAAGGACAAGTCCACTTTTACATCATGTAGACTTAGATGTTGAAGACCACTGTGATGCCATCTCTTCCCCTTCTCTCATCCTGCCCCGTTTCTGAGCCAGTCCTCTTCAGTTAAGGTTGGCCATGCTCTACTACTTGACAGCACCCCTCTATGCACATTACAGTTTGTTCAAGACTTGGATTAGCATTAGCAATGTCTTCTCCACTGGATAAGAATCTTCTGATGTCTTGGATGCTGAATTAAACAGATTAGCTTTTCTCATTGCTACAGACCAGGTGGTGGCAAACTATGGCTCACAGGCCAAATCTAACACAAGGCCTGTTTTTGTCCTGCCTGAAAGCTGAAACTGTTTTTTTACATTTTTAAAGGATGGTAAACAATGATAAAAACAAAGAACATGTGACAGAGACCAAATGTGGTCTGCAACACCTAAAAATATTTACTATCTGGCCATTTACAGAAAAGGTTTGCTGATCTTTGCTATAGACTTTTTTTTTAGTAGAAGCATTTTAAATAATTATTTTACTTTATAAAAGTAATACAAGTACACAATACCCTAACTTAAACTATTCTAATATTTACAAATTTGTGCTAGGAAGTTCATACATTACTGCTCAATTTCCTCAACACTGAACAAAACATACATCTACAGCAGTGCGGGCGGGCAGGATTCGGTATACAGCCTGTGACTCTGAAGGGGAGTTTTCTACTTGAACTTAACTGGTGCACAGGGGAGTCAATTTCACACTTGGCTGCACTGACACAATATTCTACCTTACTAAGCCTGTCTATCTCTTTCCCAAAACAAAAATGCTGCCAATTTTGGGTGTGTGGGGATAAAACACGAGAAAGAATCATCATATTTTATGTCATAAGAAGAAATACAAAGAAAAAAGAAAAAGAACTAAATTTAAAAACCAAAAAATAGCTATGTGGTTATTCCCAGACATACCATGAGCCATGTCGAGACAAGGATGAGATAAGGCCTCTGCCATTGAGAAGCACATCGCACACAACAGACAAGGTGCAAATGGAGCTCAGAGCAAGTTACGTGAAGGCTTGGAGAAACTCTTCCAAAATTTACTGGAGATGGGAATTTGAATATGGCACAAAGAAAACGCATCAAGCCTTCACAGGGCATAGGGATGGGGCTAAAACCATGAGGAAAGGCATGGAAGTGAAAAATACAGCTGTACAACAGGCTCTCTGGGGACCAAGAAATACCAAAGACACCAATGGGAGAAGAGCAGAAAATAAATCCAATACAGAGATAAATAAATACTGGGAAGAGGAGCCTGGACTTACTATTTTGAGAATATGACATCTCCTGAAGATTCTTAAAAGATGAAAGGACGTTTTTTGGAAAGGTTAGACAGGCAAATATGAAGAAAGCAAGGATATAGAAAGAGATCCTAGGCTGACAAAACAAGTAGACATTTGACTAGAACAAAGGCAGGGCATTAGAATTTGAAGGCAAATTCCAGAGGTACTTAACAAAAGCATGAGGTAGGCTTGATTGGATGTGGAAAATAATAAGAAAAAGTCAAAGACAGTTACAAGCTTCTAGACTATTACACTCCAAGTGTGCTAATGCCAATGCTAAAAATTTATTTTTACAGAAAAACAATTAAAATGTCATCAATACCTCTGAATTACATTATTTACAAGCAATGTACCTAAAGGTATCTGAGAAAAATCCATCAAAATTTACAAGAAAGAAGTAAAATAATAAAATAAAAAATGATTTTGAACTATTTCAAAAATAATTAAGTGTGCCATGTAAAAACATTTTGTTTTTTGCAAAAATTACTAAGGCTTGCACTTGTTCTTCATTTTAAATTTGTTTTTCATTATTGTAAAATAACAACAATATGTAATTATGAATTTAAATTTTGATGAGAAATATTAAAGACTTAAGAAGTTTCAATAAAGACCCAGCAGGATAAACACAGAGACCCACACCTATACACATAATCAAACTATGAAAGACAAAGATCTTGAAAGCATCAATAGAAAAACGGCTCATCATGTTCAGAGGAAACAAGATAACTAAAAATACATAGTTAAAAAAAGTCAGCACAGTAATTGAAATTGCACACTAAAAGTAACATGAAAAAAGGCAATAAAAGGAGAGGTACAGGAAAAAAACATACAAGATACATACACTACAAATGGTAAAATGGTTGATGTATTAATAAACACAATCATATCAATAATTACATTAGATGTGAACAGACTAAGTAACCCAACCAAATGGGAAGAATGTCAACTGCATAAAAAACAATATGCTATCCATAAGAAATACACTTTAGATTCAAAAGCACAAATAGATTGAAAAGTAAAAGGATGGAAAAAAATACGTATCATGCAAAAAATAACATAAGAGAGAGCAGCTATATTCATATCAGAAAAAAAGAGACAAGAAATACTATAAGAGGCAAAGAGGATTATTTCATAATAGTAAAATGCATAACATTTTAGGAAGATAAGTTACCTATAAATATACAGACATCTAACAAGAGAGCCCAACATTATATAAAGCAAAAAACTGACAGAACAGACATTTCAACATGATAGATGGTGATTTTGATACATTACTCTCAACAAAAATAGAACAACTAAACAGAAAATCAGCAAGAATATAGAAAACTTAAAACTACACAATCAACCAAATGGGCTTGGGCCATAATCCTAAAAGACACAATCCTGAAAACCACAAATGTTGAAATCCTGAAAGATCCAAATCCAAACAGTGTAAAATCTTGAATAAGAATCACAATCCTGAAAGATCAAAATCCCAAAAGTATAATTCTGGAAAGAAATAATTTTTAAAAATTCTTTTAAAAAAAAAAGACACTTACATACATTTTAAAAAGAGGGTTTATTTTAGAAACATAAAAACCTAACAATATTTGACAGGTCACTTTACACAATAAAATAGGCAATAATAACATATATATTTTTTTGCAAGCATAAACACTCAGATATATTAATCATAGTTGCATGGGTATAACAGTTACAAGCAGAAAAACCATATTCATAAGGAAATATGTCAAAAACCAAAATGCATAAATGCATACAACTATGGTTGACAACTGTGTGCAGTCAGCTTTATAACTGTAGTCAGCTGCATGAAATACTGTGATGAACAACCTAAGTCTTCTGACGAGATCAATGAAAAACTGTGATGGGTCATCACTGAGTATACAGTTATCCATATCCAAAGAGCCAATCTCTTTGGACATCTCTTCATTTACTGAGGAACGTTGAATTTTTTTCATACATGCACAGTGCTTATACCCAAAGTTAACACTGTGATAATGCACTTTTATGGACTCAAATTTATAAAAATGCACAAAACAAATCACAGCTCCCTAAATTTTTATACAATTTATACTTCCAGTGTTGGAAATGATTTGAAGATGAAATAACAAACTGGCACTGTGTGAAGGGAAGAAGTTGTACACCATTGAAAAATTTGGCAGGGGAGATTTCTTGTAATTTTTGCCTGCATTTTCACTTCTATGATCTTCAAAACACTCTCTCCACTAGTATTTAGAGGGTGGTTGTGGTCTACAAATTTTCTGAGTATATGCTGTATATTTGAAAGTCTGGTTATTGCTTGACTGTTACAATTAAGTGATTTTCTGTTTTCATAGCACCCATTATATTTTAAAGTTTATCTTTTACCATTATGTAGCCTCATACACTTAATTTATCACAGCATTTCTGCAAGGGAACAATTTCACTGATCCCTTCCATTGTGTTATAGGGAAAATGGTAAGAAGGAATGACACTTGGCTTTCCCAATACCAAATCTGTATTAAGGTTTTTCAAAGAGACAGAACCAATAAGATATGTGTGTAGATATATGAGAAGGGATTTATTAGCAGAATCAGCTCATGTATGAGAAGTCCCATGACAGCCTGTCTGCAAGCTGGAACCCTGGGATATCTACAGTGTGTTTCTGTCCCAGTCTGAAGGCCTCAGAACTAAGGATGCCAATGACGCAACTCAGTCTGAGATCAAAAGCCTCAGGACCAGGGGTCTGCTGGTGTAAATCCTGGAGCCCAAAGGATGGCAAACCTGTAGTTTTAATGTCTAAGGTAGTAGGAGAAATAT